TGTTATTTTTAACGTATTCTGATGGTCAAGCTATAATTCTTTGATTCTGTGCAGAGATTATTTGGTGCAGCTGAACGTGAGAATAAAGACGTTACGTCTCATCGTTGTCCCTTTCTCATCTTTCAGCTTGTGGAGGGAATATCCTTTCTGAAGAAGACGTGAGACAGAAGACGTGAGACAGAAGACGTGAGACACGTTCATGCATGTTTGTATGTTGATGTTTAATAATCATGTTTACTGACGTTCTTCTACAGTTTGTTTTTATTCATGTTTTTAATAAACGGATACCAACAGGTTTTCTGCTTTTCCTTTTGTGTGACGAACACAATAACGAACAGTATAATGTATATCGGCATCAGTTGTGTTCCTCGGTCTGACAGTTTCATTCAGTTTCTTTCTGTAGCTCCAAGTCACAACAGAAGTCTCAGGCGCTGAACAGAAACATTCACATACTTTATCAAAGCAAATCAGTAAAAAATATCAATCTGAGGAGGCAGCAGATTGTGTTGAATCAAGGTAAAGTCAGGTCCTCTGGACGGATTCTTCTTATCGAAACGTTTCGTCTTTAATCCAAAGGACTTCTTCAGTCTGAGGAGCTGCAACAATCTCAAGTCTTATAAACATCTCCTTCTCATAGTGGATCAACCAGTTTGTTGTTGACATCCTGAACCAGCTGTTCACATGATCAAGAAGGATCATCAGCCTAACGACAGATCGTTAGTGCCCTGATGGCCACTTGTTATTCACAGGGGGCTGAGTGATGCTACCAATCACAGCATTGTAAGAGGAGGACAGTTGGACCTGGAGGCTCCACCCCTGTTTAATGATGGACGGTTTCTCTTCACAAAGATGGCCTCCTTTACTCCTCTCTATCAAGGATGTGAACATCTTCATCCCTGAAAGAGTGACCTCTGACTGACATATAATATATATATATATTATATTTCACACATTGAAATATTTAATTTACCTCAAAGATTATGAGCTCATGAATTGAACCAAAAATGAAAAACACGCCCATTGAAAAGTCGTTATTTGTTTTTGTTGCCTAATTTGCACGTTATCGTCTTTGAAAGATGAAG